TAGCCTATGGTGCAGCGGCTATTATAGGGAGTTGCCAAGACGGTTAAATAAGCAGTTATACGATGATTTTCAAAGTTCACGTGGTGGCATATCAGAAATGGAACATGTGCTGACGTGGACAAGCAGTTAAACCACAAAAAAATGGTTAAAGGTCGTGGGAGAATAGTTTCAAGCACGATGGAACGTGGTGATAACTGCTCCTTCGACCGTGGCAGTCCACACTGTCGCGCCAATAGCCGCGGCAGTGTTGACTGGCGCGGCCAAAGAGCAGTCGTTTGGTCAGTTATCTTGCCCCCCTTTTCCACTGTTATGCACTCCTACCCCTATAAATACCTCCCTAAACACGAAATAAAGACAGAGAGCAGATTGGAGCAGAAAAGGCTTGAGCTTTTGTTGATTTTGAGGAAGAAAGAAGAGAATTTTCACCCTTTGATAAGCATCACTTGGTGACTCCTAGAGATCTAAGCTCAGACTTGATCTTTGGAAGAGTGAACATCTTACATCGATAAGATATTCGCTTTCAAATCCTTACTTCGATAAACGAAGGAAGGATCTCTAAACACCCTCACGATCTGTGATTTGGTGGTCCACGAGTCAAAGCACTCCCGGCACAGGCAAAGTCTCACAAAACAGGATTCGATAGACGATTTCTGTGTTATTTTCTCGAGAGTTGTAATTTTCTCAATTTTTCATTGAAATTTTCTGTAAACGATTAAAATTTTAATGGAATCGACAATGGAATCAACTTTCGCTGAAAACAGTGTCTATTTAGTAGTTTTCTAAATTTTCATTGTGTTTTCAGTGTAATGCATATACACATCAACTAATGATGATATTGAAAAATTAGTCGTTCTTAAGATTATTAAACCATAGTTAAGTATGCACATCACTATTCCTGTTTTATTCCATAGTTACACATATCAAATTAGTAACTAAAATAGTAATTATTTATGCTTAAATTAGAATGATTGTAGTTGGTCACTCACTATAAAAATTTTATGAAAATATACACCTTACTTTTTATAGCTATCTGCATTGTCCATGTAAATTTTATAAAAATTAATTCTTAATTTGACATATTAAATTATTTTTCCTTTGTAGAAATTTTTTCTTTGACTTTTAGACTTTTTAATCACTATATTACCATTCTAGCATAGAAAGGACCTCACTCTAAATGGCTTAAAGCCAATGTTTGAGTTTCACTGAAGTATATACTATTGTTACTATGTGTATATATTTTTTAAGAAAATCATGCCAATACTTTTTAAATAGAAAAGAACATTCTAACCTCTGATATTATAAGAATTAAATATAGCTAATTGAATGTTTAGCAAAAGAAAACGTACATAAGAAAAGTGTGAATAATAAGATAAAGAGGAAAGGTAATGGCATTGCAAACAATACTACAAAATAGAAAACTACAATGTTAACCTATTTTGTGGAGCCGAACTACTGGCTATAAGCATCGATGTTTTCATATATATACTTTATAATTTATTAAAAAGGGTCGTATAATCTTATATAATAAAATTAATTTAATATTGAATAGTAATATCATTGTAATAATATCATTATTAGAAAAAAATTATTCATGAAGCGATATGCATTTTACGATATATAAGCTATGCACTCTAAAATATTGTGTCTTTTATATAGCCAAAATTTTTGAATATGAGCATCTAACATGTTGCTCTCATAATAACAAAATCCACTTAGGAGATATGGATATTCTAGATGAGTTATGTATCCTATATATAATCCAATTGTCCTAGACAAGTGAGTTATAATAGCATTTTTCATTCACATCGTTTTGGGTAATATTTGATAGAGACCTTGCATCAAAGAAAAAATTATATTTAGAGCACATGACGAAATATATCATAATCTCTCTATTCTAATTTCGTAAGAGAATATATTATTCATACTTTCAATTTTACTTCTATGATACATAGAATGAGCTATAAAATTGAATAAGAATATTAGATATTATAAATATGAGCGAAACATCAACTAAAAGTTAACATGAATATGAGCCAAATCATAACTATGTATAAAAGTTTAATGGACATATTACAAGTAAATTCCTATGCAAAATTTTTTTTTACGAATTGAATGATCACTCATCTTTTGAACACTTCAAGATATTAATAAATAGAGATATTGTACTAAATTAATGTGTTTATAACTCACAAATAGTAGATTATATAGTCACAGTCTGGGTTGAAGGAAACAATGATAATATTTTATTTGAGAGAGAGATTATTGAGTTGATGATCAAGAAACAATGATAATATTTTATTTGAGAGAGAGATTATTGAGTTGATGATCAATCCCACAAAAAACTTTGTTTTCTTTTTTTATTTTTTTATTTGAGAGAGAGATTATTGAGTTGATGATCAATCCCACAAAAAACTTTGTTTTCTTTTTTTATTTTTACTTTATTTTTATCAATTTAAATAATCATGATATTCAACCAAGTACATCTCAACTCATGATATTTAACCATGTGCATTGCACGTGCATCTCAACTAGTAATGATAAATGTACGAGTTCACAAAATACAGTCACATAGGTTTAAAAGTATATGAAATCCCTACAATACTAACTGATCCAACCTAACTACAGAAAAACAAAACAACAAAAAACAAAGTTTTAAAAATAGATAACGAGTTTCTCAATTAGCGTCAAGCATCAGCTCCGCCAGCAATGACCGCGACGGCAGTAACCCCATTGTCTCCAGCAATATTAATCCTTTCAACATCCTCAAGCGACAGTTTCTGCACCACCCCTTGCAAGTCTGTTTTTGCGCTTTTTATAATAAACTTCAGCATGTAAGCATTACAAGTTCCTACCCCTTGCAAGTCTGTTTTTGCGCTTTTTATAATAAGAAATAGTCCCTATACTATAATAACACCTCCTCGTCTGATCTAGAAACTCCGAATTATTCATCTTTAAAGATTAAAAGGTCTGGCCTAATCCCTCCATAATTTTGAACCAAACACTTAGCTATTTGATCTTAAAGAATAAGGGCTTATTACCACGAAATATTACCCAATCCAAACATATCCTTAGGGTATTAAAAATGCAAGTTTTAGAAACGTTAGGGTATTTAAGAGTAAGGTTTTAAACAAGTGTATTTTTAGAGTAATGTCTTACAAGGGCAAACAATATAGTTCAAGTGTGCACTGCCAATGATTGTATTTTGGTTTGGCACCAGCCTTGTTTGTGCACATGTTTTACTTTTGGTTATAGTATTGAGGTCTGTCTTTCTACTATATTTTGCTACCTTGGACTAGTATAAGTCAGGCTCTACAAGAGAGGGCTTTTGTAGCAATTCTTTTCTATATATGATTTGATACCTCTATAGAGGTCATTCCATTCTGTGGAAGGATACTTTTAGGCCGTGTTTGGTTTGAGAGAAAACGATGGAAATGAAAAGGAAAGAAAAAGAAAAGAAAATAAGAATCTCTTTGTTGTTTGATTAGGAAGAGAATTGGAAATAAAATAATAATAGTTTAATAAAACCGATGTAAGAACTACAATTAACTTAACTTATGTTAAATACAAACTATGTATTAGAAATTTTTATAGATTTATATTTCTATATGAAAATCAATACAAGTTATTTTGGTCCTTTATAAGAAAAGAACTACATTTAGTAAATGGCTATTTTTGTGTGCACACAAAATTTTAAAATAAGGTTTTTATTTCCAATATCAGTCCCTTACATCTTTCATATTTTGAAACGAGTCTCTCATATCATTGAAATTGCTAGTAGGCTGCTTTATTCTCATGTAATTTTAAAGTTAATCCCTACAATTAAGAGTAAAAGTAACAATTGAGAGATTAGTTTGAAACAATCTATTAGAATTGGGACCTAATGGCAATTTCAATGATTTCATTGCGCATTCTGAATTAACTTAGATTTTGGAGGACATAGTAGAAATTTAATCATTTGAGCTCATCTCAAAATATGAAAGATTTAAGAGACTAATATAAGTTTGTTTCTAATTTATAGCAACCGTACAAAGCAAGATAGTTGTTTACCCATGTAATGTGGGGCCCACATAAGAACAAGTGAATATTTTTTTGCCTAAACCGAGTACACACATTTAGGGTCCGTTTGGTTAGAATTTTTTTCCCTTGAAAGCCTGTCAAAGTGTCACTTTTTTGCAGGCTTATTCGTCTCTAAAAAAGGCGATTTTGCTTGAAAGCCTGCCAAAAAGTGACACTTTTAGCACTTTTGACAGGCTTTTAAGAGAGCATTTTCCTCAAAAACAGAGAACCAAACAGCCCCTTAGTTATTCCACTTGGCCCCAACATAAAATCAATTGGATGACAAAACAAAATGGCCGACAACGTATAACTATGTCCTGGAGTTCATTCCTTTCCTCCCGATAAAATTTCCCCCAGCTTTGGCTAGGTTGGGAACGAGGAAAATTCAATCCACTTTCCTTCCAAATTTCTCCCATTTTCTTTTTCTCTTTACTATTCATTCAAGCCAAATAGTTAAACGTGATTTTCTTTCTCACTTTCGTTTACTCTCTTCCAATTTCAGTCGAACGAAACACAACCTAAATGAGAAAAAAAGAAAAAAAAAGAAAAAGAAAAAAAAATGTAATTTACCCTAAAACTTAAAATAAATTCATAATATAAAAACCATAAATCTTGAAATAATAAAGAGAGAGAGAGAGAGAGAGGAGAGAGAGACAGAGCAAAAGGGCACAGTCCGTTCGAAGCTCTCCCTTCTCTGAATCGGCACCCACTGAAGCGCGAAATGACCTCCAGATCGCTTCCTCATCTCTTCAGAGCTCGTTCTCATCTTCTCCTTCGGTCCCAAATTCGAAACCCTAAACCCTCTTCCCTTCCTCTAAAACCTCTCCAAAGATTCTGCTCATCCGACGCATCTCCTCCTCCTCCTCCGCCGCCGACAACTCAAACGCCGAAAGTCAAAATCGCCGGCGGTGGTGGCGTTAATCCATCGCCCTTGTATTCTTCTCTTGACGCCGACGAGGTCGCTAAGTTTGCCTCCATTGCTGAAACCTGGTTCTCTCTCTCTCTCTGATGTTTCTTCCTCAAGAGTAGTTTGGATGATTGCGTTTGGTTAAACAAAACCACCAACGACATATTGTTTCTTAATTGTCAAACACTTTGATTCATAGAATATTGTTGGGTCTTATAGATTTTGTAAACATATTTTCCTATCAATTTCATAGTGTTGGTCTTATTAATATGACCATTCTGAATTAAATTGAATTATGTGAACTGCATCGTCTTCAATTGCATCATCTTGAAGGTATGGCTGGATCTTTCTATAACTTTGTAGCAAAACTAACTCAATCCACCCTGTTTTGGTTCACATTGCGCTCATGCGAACCATAAGAAAGTCGTTCTTCCTCATTTTATACTCGAATGAAGCTACTTCTGAGTCCTCCACAATGCACCCGTTTTTTGTGTGCTACAGTTAACATATTGCAGTTCATCTCCTCCGCAGTTGTTTGGCTAGACTTGTCTCTCATACGTGTTGCTTTTCGACACTTGAATCTTGACACTTTTTGCCTTTTATTATTTGTTAAATGAGGAATTTGAAGATAGTTGTAACTTGTAAGACTTCGCAATGGTCGTTTAGTGTTCTCTCTTAGCATTGAGAGAGGTAGGAGGGATCCCTCTAGCATTTAAAAATATATTTATCTATAAAAGACGACTCTTAACCGAATTTCTCCACTTTAACTATCTATGTTGATTCTATGAACAAACATCCTTTGTGACCTTTGAGCGTAAGTAGTAGGAATGACTAATCTTTGGTATTTCTTGGCTATGATTGTGAGATGTGCTCAAGTTTCTTCTTGAACTTCTCCCAAAGTCACATTCCTATTGGCGAGGGAAGCAACTGAAAACAGACTTTAAATTGAATTTGTATTTAATGTGAGAAAGGTTAAAAGATGGAAGTGTTGGGTTTGCTGGACTAGTTCAAGGGAAACAAGATAGAAACTTTGTTGGAGAGAGTATGCTGGGTTTTTCTGGCGAAGTCACGTGAAGAGGATGAGGGCAATAGTGGGTTTGTGTTTAGGCGTGAATCAAAGGAAAGGAGCAGTGTTGGTCGCTGATGCCAACGATGATGTCAGTGAGCACTCTTGAAAATTTGAACAATGGACTAATTATTTGATGAGGGGCTGCTGGTTGATTGTTTTCAGAAGTGGATTTTGATTATTTGATTTTAGATCTAATAAACTAGAAGAACAAGTAAAGTAAAACAAGATAGAAGATAACTTGGCTGGATTGGGTTCACTCACGGATATCTAGCCTGAAATAATGGATTCACGCATTAGCAAATTAAATGCCCACCACAACAAAAACCTCGTGCTAAAGCCTTTCTCAGCTAAATTGATCTTTAATTTTCTCTTTAATTACAATGAAAAGAAAAACCATATATATAAGTTTTATGATTCTATCTCTACTAAATTTCAAATTCAAAATTAGAATTCAACCCACAAATCCTCATTTAATCATACGAAAATTTAAAATCTAAATAAATCTCATCTAATCAAAAAAACTTTCAAATCAACCAACTAAATTAAATTTCAAATCTTATATCCTAACAGATAAATCAAACACAAAGTTTTGAATCCTAACAACTTTATCCTCATTCATCTGCATTACTTTAATTTGTCCTACATCACCAATCCTAATATATATAAATGCTAAACATTCTCTTCACAGTTCTAAGTTAAACATTTTGTCTTCTCTTCTGTCGTCAATTAATGCAATATCATTTGCAAATAAAATGTACCAGTGTAATTGAGCTTCTAGTGCTTAGCCAGTTTCATCCGTGATTAAAGCAAAGGGAAGAGGAATTGGCGCCAACTCTTTATTGTGAGCTTAATGTCTAATTTTTTTCTTCTCGAAGCTAACGTTATGGTGAAGTTATTATTTGAATTATATGCATTGAGCTGGTCATATTTCCTTAAAATACTATGTCATGTTTTTGGCGTTTATGCAAGGAATTTGTTCATGCTGAGATTTACGTTTTCCAATAGACAGTTGATCATGTGAATGGGTTATTTCAAATGCATAGAGTAA